TAACTTGAACGACTCCTTGATGTAAGGGCTGTAACACCACCTACATTGAATGGCTCCTTGATGTAAGGACTGTAACACCACCTACATTGAATGACTCTTTGATGTAATAAATGTAACATCGCCTACCTTGAATGGCTCTTTGACGTAAGGACTGTAACTGCGCTCGAATAATTCAGCTGCCCGTTCGTAGTTTCCTAACTCCAAATGACCAACAGCAAACATTCCCCAAGTCATAGCGGGGCCATTGGGATCGGTGACGTCTTCGTATATTTCTAAATCGTTCTGTCTCATTCCTGGTTTCGCGTCCCACATCAGTGGGAAGCCGAGAAGAATGACGTCAGCCTGTTTGACTATTGTCCCTGGATTCGATAATAAAAAGATATCGTTGACAACAGAGTCGTGGAATGTATGCGAATAGTTTTGACGCATATCCTCACTGGAACTTCGCGAGTTCTACGTCTTCTATCGTACAATGCTTTGTATAAAATGTTGTATTATCTACTAGTAAAAAATGTGTATGATGATAATTATATGTGATCATTTGCAATCACATTTGTTTAACATATATGAGGAATATGAAGTGTTTTAAATGGGATAACGGCTACAAAGAAAATTATTTATGATACACAAAACGGCAAGTGAGCGTATTTGTAGTCGATTGACGGCGTGTCCGGCGAGACAATTAGCATATTTGACGGAATAGAATCACCTCGCTACCATGAAGTACAGTACACATGGAATATTTATTTTACCAAGTTGTTTGGTATTTGTACCAAGGTTCTCTGTTTTACGAAGTTGATCGTATCCGGCGATTGCAATAGTTTTGTATTAGAATTCAGCTAAATATTTAGATATGTTTATTCAGTTGTAGAGCACTAGGCCTGCCTTCAGCCTTCCAGTTTGTGTAATATCTCAAAATTTTCACGACATTCAGTGGTTTTCGACACTTCTATATTTCTCACAATGCTTGTTATACTGAGCTTACCAATAGTATACGTAGCGTGCTCTGGGTGGTACTCATTAACAGTGTCCACTATTTCTATCAGCGTTCTAGCTTTTTCAGTCCAGTCCCTAGGTAAACCCTCCTCGTGACCTGCCATGCATTCGAGATAGTCAGAAAACCAGATAGCTAGGCTTGCTGCGACATTAGTATAGATAGAATTGTCCACGTCCTCAGCGTACTCATCTGGTGACATGACGCCTAAAAACAAAACACATTAACAAAGCATATCATATTTACGCAGTGTTGATTTCTAGCTAAACCACGTGGCAATATTTCTAGCTTAACAACGTGGCAATATTTCTACCTAAACCACGTGGCAATATTTCTACCTAAACCACAAGGCAATATATCTAGCTAAACCACGTGGCAATATTTCTAGCTAAACCACGTGGCAATATTTCTAGCTAAACCACGTGGCAATTGTTTCACATTTTTATGCAATAGTACAGAATGCCAGAACAAATATACTATACGTTCACATATGTTATGCTTTCTCGATGCGCTGTGGAAAAATGGTGATCGTATTATTTCGAAATTTAAAAGTTTGATATATTGTTTTTATTACTGAAATATGTTTTCACAAATAAACAAATCTGAAAGAAGTCCACTCAGGATACCAACATACCAAGTATAAAAGCAACTGAGCTGGTAGTTTTCAAGAAGAAGGTGAAAATGTAATTGTTGACGGACGGACGACGTCAGACATTAGAGAGGTTCGGGCACACGTTTTAAGCGTACGTGTAAACACAGTATTCGCGTTACGTTGACATTCATGCAAACAAATCGTTCGGCTCCGCGTTTGAATAGCGCGGTGCATAATGGCCACCATTGCTGATTTAGCATTTTCTAATAACGATTTTAAACTGTTTGCACTAGCATTATCGGCAGATAATGGCAGTACTAATTAAAATATGATTGAATCATGGTACATCGATTTTATTGGATAGGATGCCTGATGGTCAAGTTAAAATCAATTTTCTATTCGAGAAGACTATCTATCGAAGCAAAATACACGAAGATAAAAAATACATCTCGCTGTTTTGAATTAGCAGAAACGCCATCTTTGTAGCCCTACTACAAAATGCAACGCTGTATGTGTTGATTGGCTTTGGCGGGGTTAGGCGCCCACTGGACTGCCGAGGGTGCAGTACATTTAAAACATAAAAACTATCGTTCACATTCATAATGCACATGAAAGGGAGGTATAAAAACACTGCTCTTACAGTCAATCAGTATAAAATGAGTGAACCTGATATATAGAAATCGAAATCGACCCAGGCAATCTATACGTCATGTACTCTGACGAGACAGTCGTCTGGTCCTTGACGACCAATGTAGTCATACGTTTGTTGGGTCAGTTTTATAAACAATTTTGATTTATTCAATTAATGTTGTCTGAATGTATGTAATCCAACATCATATACAGCTGACATTCACTAATCACTGAGTGTATACATTTCTCTACCCTCTCTCCCAAATAAATGCAAACGTTCGCAACTTACATTTTTTTTAATTTTTATATCTTTTTTCAATCATAATATATTTAGTTATAGGATGGGTTCTTATGATTGTTGTGATTTTCTGGGTAATTTTGACAAATATCATTTTGGGGGGAATAATGCTTTAACGTGAATTCCTATTGGAAATAGTACCAAAGCGTTCTTTTTTCATGTTTTTAGAATCGTTTCCCCCAAAAAAACATTATTTTCTACTGAGTAAAATGTCCTACATTTGAAAGTCGATGACTGATGTCTAAATCAATAATTTTAAAAACATACGTAAAAATAAACGTGTCCATATTTGACTATATTTAGAATGTTAACTAATACATATTGGTGGCGCACTTTGAATAAATACGAAAGTACTTACCAAGTATTTCATACGCCTTGTATTGATCATTGAATGTCACACGACTTTGCCAAAAATTTGCCATTTCGTAGACGAAATTTCGACCCCAATCATGGACCCAATCCATATCTCTGGTAGCTGAAAAGTACTGTCTAGCTGCAAACGCAATGTCACTGGTGATATGTTGTTGATTTTCTCTGGTCGTTATGCAGCAGTCCGGCGTCACTTCGGCACCAGTGTAAGCGGATTCCCAGGGGTAACGTGTTCCCAGGTGACCATTAAGTTCAGCTCTCTTTTCGGCGGTGTCTCTACCATGCCAGCGATACGACAAAATATTCTTCGCTATATCTGGACGAAACATCAAAACTGGTGGATACATCCATGTTTCAGTATCCCAGAAACTATGTCCCTGATAGTCAGTCTCAAACGCTCCGTTCGCTAAACCGCCTGGACTGAGACCGAAGAACTGGTTTGGTGGTTGGTGTGTAGATTCAGAAGCGGGGAGCGAACTGAGAATATAGTAGAGGGACCCGTAGATACGTTTACCTAGCATGAGATTGTCAACCTCGATACGTCCGTTTTCCCAAATCTTCTCCCATCTCTCAGTGTGAAATTCAAGTAAAACCATGCCACCTGTCAACCCACTAGAGTCACTACGATAGATAAGCTGAACGACGTCAACGAAATCCCTCATTGCTACAGTATTATTCCAGTCAATTGAACACACATATGTCCACATGTAATCTTCGTCGTCATCCTCCATTACCGTGATGCTCTCCGGTACATGTGTGTAGTACATATACACTGGTGTTTGATCACCGCCATCTAATTCCGGTTCGTTGGTAGTACCGTGCATTTCCCTAGGAAACATTCCATTAAAAAAATCAGATCAAGTCTGGTTTTGATAATCATAGTGCTATTGCGCATTAGTGCTAATATTCCCAGATGATTGTAATTTATCCTTAAGTGCCCAAAAATACATGTGAACTCATAATTTGATAGTACGTACTAGTATTGTCGGAATAAAGCGCATGCGCACATTCACAGTTCGTTATTTCATTAAATTAATGCCAAACCGTTTTCCATTTACTATAAATCATGATTCAATTTTCATATATATATACTATTTGGAGTACTAGTAATAGTATTATAAGCGTTATACTGTCAATGATCACTCACCAAGCGTCAACCGACACGTTTGGGTACCTCCTTGGCTCGCTGAAATTAATATCTTCGCTCGGTACGCCTTCATTTTTCTCAAGTGTCATAGTAATATCACCAACGTATTTACCCCTTTTAGTGAATTCTATTTGAGTCACGAGTACGCGACTGAAATACTGATGTGCATAGATGCGAAGGGTAACAGTGAAGTCGTCGTGATTCATCACTTCACGCCAAACACCTGAATACAATAATACAGTCAATAATGAAATACACCCAAAAGGGACACAACTCAGATACTAGAATCCCTGGCAGTCTGAGACCGATGAACGCCACTGTGTATCTGTGTATGGCAACTGCAATGTACTCTCACGCATGATATGCTCATCTGGGGTCACTATCTATCTAAACTTTGTAGGCTACAGTGACTGAAGACTGCGATTATATACCAAAATATACGATTTCTAGATATGTCAATTGTACGAAACGGAACTACAATCATACAACAATGAACAACTTATTCAATATACTGTATATATGTATGTATGTACATGCTACCGTAATCATACTTTCCGGTTGCAGTCACGCAAACACGTGGATGAAACATCATTGTAACGTTGACATTAGCATTCATGTAAACGAATACAGTCATAGTTATAGTCATTTTGTCACGTGATTGTACCTTTTCCAACATCTAACGTATATTTCCTCTTTATTTGTGCTTCAATATCTTCTGAAAACTTTACTCGGATGGAGTTCTGGGAAGGGATGCGAGCACGGTGACTATCGCCTAAGGAGAAAACAGTCAATGTGTCATGTGCATTACAAAATGTCACAATTTCTGACACTCCCCGAGAGCGTTGCAATGCCATTACATTAACTTATACCAGGTTAACCTGCTTGAATTTATCTTGAACTAAGTGCTTATAATTTACCAGTATCGGCTTATACCATATAATAATAACTTGAATATCACTTAGTACAATATCAAGTAAAACTGTCATGATATTGTTTCAATAAAATTATAGTAGTCGATTTATAGTTTGCTTTATACGATACGACACGAAAATGATTGTATTGTTATCAAGATTTGATAATGTCATGAACTTTGACTGACCCATTACCCCATTGTAAATTCCGTTTACATAGACAGTATCACTGTAAACTGTTGTAGCAGCGTGACCGTTACCAACAGTCGCCATGTATCGAGAGTCGATCTCGCCATTATCAAGTAAGGGTAGTCTGAGAAAGAAAGGAAATTTTGGAATCAAACACGTAAAAGACCGGCTAAATCACAACGTTATTTCTGAAATGTTTTCAGATAGTTTTTCAATATTGACCGTAAAATCTCGTCCAATCTGTTTTGGGATAAAAAATAAAATATGATCAAGTTCACAGAAATCGATCAATGCATTTTGAGAAGTTGTTTTACAGACATCTATTCAGAGGTGTCGGATAAATAAAAATAACGCCTGCATTGATTCTATCAACACAAGAGCGCATTTGGTATAGCTATATATACATATATCAATATTTTCCATAATGTGCGTTTAAGTTTAAGGTAGCGAGACTATATTGTGTTGAAAATTACGATTTTCACATTTATTTATAATGATGAAATGCACTATAAACTTTCATATGATAAAGTCAACATAACATAGAATGTCATGTAAGTTGGTTAAAATGCATATTTTCTGAAGGGAAGCAAGGCAGCCTCAGTAGTGTTTTCCAAAATCAACAATACAGGTTTAATCTGTGTGCCTATAAATTTCAAAGATAAACTCAAGACAAAGCAATGTTAGGATGTGTTATCAGTAGCTATCTGACACACAATGAGTGTTTCCAAACATTCGAGTGGTTTGTCTCCGCCCCTGTTTGTTTCACAGATTAGTCATTTGCATATGAATGTGTCAGACACAAGGTCACACAGCCACTGAAAAAAAATCATTAATTTTGGTGTTTTCATATGCCGAATTTATCCAATTATAGCTATCCCATTCCTTTATTTTTTTGGTTTCTAATAGCCTTACACATTTGGATGTGTAAAATGGTAAAACAGACCTTGATGGGAAAACAAATTGATTGTGCCGATAAACAAGCTTGAAAATCTTTGCTGTTACTTCATGGACGTTTTCTAGGAGTTTATGTTTTTCAAAATACAAGGTCTTTAACAAAAAATAACGTATACTTATTGTCGTCGGATTAACACCAAATTTTCACAGCTTTAAGGTGACAATGAGAGGAACTTGAATGTGTCCAGACAAACTATTTCATCGATTATTTACCAACGAGTTGTGGTTTGAGTTGGGGGCAATGTGACTAAAACAGTAATTGAAATTCAGCACACTATTTTTTAAAACGCGTTGCTTGAATAAAACTGACCAGACACATTCAATTTACCAGACTATTGAACAACTAGGAAAAGTGAAAAAAATACTTCTTATCGCCAGCGTAAATGCGTAATTATTTTTTTTACAGAAAAATTAATTTTTCACCTTTGATTGAGTAACGCGTCGTAGAATGCAGATACGGGCATGCAAAATACACTTGTGAAAAGCTTAAAGTCTGGCGATTCTAAAAATATATACTTTCCCGGGTCTATTTGTAGTCATTTAGTCACAATTAGAAGATGAAAACAAGTATGCAAATAATAGTCTCGCTACCTTAATAATAACAATTTGAATGGCTTTGATTGTTGCTAGTGACGACGATAACATTTCTAATACTCACTCAGTACTTTGGAAAGTGGTCTGTTCCGGGCTAATATCGATGAGTGTAACGGTGGGTTGTAGTTTTGGATGCACTCTTTGAAATATGGCTATCACAAATGTTAGTGTGCAAGATACGGCCATCAAAAATAACAACACCTTCGCCATTCTCATGGTAGCAAACCTCCCTGTCAAGTATAAAGTAACTATTAAAGTGCACGTGTTGTCAACGCCGTTCATTCAGCGGCTCATTGGTTAACATGAGTACGATAAACGATCTCCAGCATATCTCTAAGAAGTGTCCCTTAAGTTCGTGTAAATACAGAGTATCGTCCATTATCGAAATCGTGCAAATTATTACCAAGAATGTAAATAGTCAATATCTTACTTTTATTGATCACATTCATATCTCTCGGTCACATCATTCACTACGATTTCCGTTTTCGACATTGCGAAATTCTATCGTTTTTTATACAGTGTTTTATTAAAATTGTTTATAAATGAGTTGTTCAACTGCATATTTTGTAATTTTAATTAAGCTGTTTTCAGTTATAATTCTAGACAAAAGATCGTCTCAATTAGACCGTCACTTAAACGTTTTTTCCCGAACCATGAAGTATTCGGTAGTGCACTTTAATTTGTATTAAGGTCATCGACAGACGGCTTACTTTATTATCGATCTGTATAAAAAGACTTGTCACAAACATCAAGGCAAATGATGGGACAATAACATTCGAGATAGTTCGGAAATACGCCACACAGTGAACACTAACCAGCGACTATGCACTAACGAACAAAAAAGTCCAGCCAATCCTCGCCATTGGTGGCCATCATATACAACTGGCCTTGTACTAACAATCGCTGACCCCCATAAGCGATGTGTGTTATACTGTGTATGTTGTTACCAGCATCATGTGAGTAAGAATAAATCCCCCATATCAATAGTGTTGGCAGGTGAACACTGCCATAATGGTATGTTTTCGTTGATCTCAGAGCGAATATGCGATACTAATGTGAATATTTATGATATCCCAATTTGTAAGCGACCCGGCCTTTACGTTGTAGTAGCGACCTTTGCACCTTCAACTCAGCTAAACACTAATTAGATTCATACACATTTCATGTAAATATATGTGAATTTATGGGTGAATCACGTATATTATGACTAATATATAGCGATGAGTTGGTAATGTTCAGTATATAGTACCAGGATGCAGTGATATACAAAGATAGCTGTGGATTTCCGACCCAGTTGCGATATGTAATACCATACGGCATAACAATAACTTACCCACGAGAAGGCGCCATGACTTCTTACGCGTATGACGCATGTATGTGTGTGTTATTGTAGCATGGTGATTGTCTAGTTCCTGTTCGATCCCAGAAATCTGTAGCAGTTGTTGAACCTCCAGATTATTAAGCAGACTGCGTGTTTAGTGTTTACTAACCCACGTCACAATAGGACTAGTCCATTTCAACTCGGGGGGGGGGGGGGTTAAAGCAAAACTATACATAATAATAGAAAATTAAAGAAACTATTCTTATGGGGATCGACACAAATTCTACACAACGTGTTCCAAGGCCAACTACTTCAGATAACCAAATATACATCGCACAGTAGTTGTACCTGAATAAACAGGTCTTTATTAATGACATGGCTGTGACTAAATAAATTTGATTTGAGGAGACAAATCTCTTGGCGTGTTCCATCAAATTCAAAGCGTTCAAAAGATTTAATCAAAAGAATCAAGATTCCACAGATCAATAATGCTGCAGCCAACAAACAATCATTTTGAGCTTGGAAAAATGTCTACGACGTCTGTGACAGAAACAAATACAAACCGGGCAAAAAAATGCAACTAAAACGAACGACTTGATAAACGAAGGGAGCATTTTCAAAATCTTCTTGGGAATAGCCTTTTTTATTTCAAACAAAGAAGCAACTAAACGGACCAACTGTACGTCAAATCTTGAGAGTTCGACGCAATATTGTAGGTGAGCGAAACATCTATGTGCCGACTACTATTTGTGAATGTCTTCGACTCAGTGCACAGAGGCAAAATGCAAATGTAGAGAGCATTCCATTAGAGAGCGGTATTAGCGATCAGATGACAATGGCATATAAACAATTCAGGTGCGATCACCTGACCTTCGCTGGGTACACGATATAACTGCAAATGCCGTTCGGTTTAGCGACTTTACTAACCGTTACGAAAAGGTTTGCTCGTTCAGAGACCATTTTTGTAAACCGACACCCTGATCGACACAGTCTTCCGCTGAGACTGTTAGCGGGTGGGGTAAAACCCGCCTATATCATGGCATGAGCCGACTACCATAACGTCTCTGTATTTGACATGAAAGATATCATAACATATTTAAAAAACAATGCTTGGATAGCGTTTAGAAATTTCAATTATTTAATTCGCCGAGCGATCTATTCATTCCATTGGAGAGAAGTCGCTTCTTATACCATTAAAGGCCGGTATGACCAAAACCAGCCATGTACATCTCCATCAGACTTGGTAGTATCTGAGCTGTGTCTTTGACTATGTACATCTCCATAAGACTTGATGGTATCTGATCTATGTCTTTAATTATGTACATCTTAATCAGACGTGGTAGGATCTGAGCCATGTTCCTATCAATGTACATCTCAATCAGACTTGGTGGGATCTGAGCCATGTTCCTATCAATGTACATCTCAATCAGACTTGGTGGGATCTGAGCCATGTTCCTATCAATGTACATCTCAATCAGACTTGGTGGGATCTGAGCCATGTTGGTATCTGAGCCATGTTCCTATCTATGTACATCTCAATCAGACTTGGTGGTATCTGAGCCATGTTCCTATCAATGTGCATCTCCATCAGACTTGGTGGAATCTGAGCCATGTTCCTACCTATGCACATCTTAATCAGGCTTGGTGGGATCATAGATGTGTCACCATCTATGTGCAACTCCATTAGACGTGGCTAATACCTGAGCCATTCATTCGTTCATTCTGTGACCTTGAACAAGAAATTGTTATTCTATATGGCAAAACATGAATCTAGTCATTCCATATAGCCATTCCATACAGCTACACACACACGACTCAAGTCATTCTCTATAGCCTTACTAGACTCCAGTCATTCTCTATAGCTATACTAGACTCCGGTCATTCTCTATAGCTACACTAATCTCCAGTCATTCTCTATAGCTACACTAGACTCCAGTCATTCCATATAGCTACACACGACTCCAGTCATTCTCTATAGCTAAACTAGACTCCAGACATTCTCTATAGCCACACTAGACTCCAGTCATTCTCTATAACCACACTAGACTCCAGTCATTCTCTATAACCACACTAGACTCCAGTCATTCTCTATAGCTACAAACGACTGAAGTCATTTTCTATAGCTACTCTGAACTCCAGTCATTATCTATAACTGCACTAGACTCTAGTCAATCTCTATAGCTACATCCGACAATCTCTATAGCTACACTGGACTCAAGTCATTCTCTATAGCTGCACTAGAATCCTGTCATTCTCTATAGCTACACTAGAATCCTGTCATTCTCTATAGCTGCATTAGAATCCTGTCAATCTCTATAGCTACACTGGACTCCAGTCATTCTCCATAGCTGCACTAGAATCCTGTCATTCTCTATAGCTACACTAGAATCCTGTCATTCTCTAAAGCTGCATTAGAATCCTGTCATTCTCTATAGCTACACTAGACTCCAGCCAATCTCTATAGCTACACTAGACTCCAGTCATTCTCTATAGCTACACCGGACTCAAGTCATTCTCTATAGCTGCATTAGAATCGTGTCATTCTCTGTAGCTACACTCGACTCCAGTCATTGTCTATAACCATACTAGATTCCAGGCGTTCCCTATAGCTCCACTAAACTCCAGTCATTCTCTATAGCTACACTAGACTCCAGGCAATATCTATAACCACACTGGACTCAAGTAATTCTTTATAACTGCACTAGACTCCAGTCATTCTCTATAGTTATACCAGACTCCAGTCAATCTCTATAACACACAAGACTCCAGGCATTCTCTATAGCTACACTAGATTCCAGTCAATCTCTATAGCTACATTGGACTCCAGTCATTCTCCATAGCTGCACTAGAATCCTGTCATTTTCTATAGCTGCATTAGAATCCTGTCATTCTCTATAGCTACACTAGATTCCAGTCATTCTCTATAGCTACACTGGACTCCAGTCATTCTCCATAGCTGCACTAGAATCCTGTCATTCTCTATAGCTGCACTAGAATCCAGTCAATGTCTATAACCACACTGGACTCAAGTCATTCTTTATAGCTGCACTAGACTCCAGTTATTCTCTATAGCTATACCAGACTCCGGTCAATCTCTATAACACACAAGACTCCAGGCGTTCTCTATAGCTACACTAGATTCCAGTCAATCTCTATAGCTACACTGGACTCCAGTCATTCTCCATAGCTGCACATCTTAATCAGGCTCGGTGGGATCATAGATGTGTCACCATCTATGTACAACTCCATTAGACGTAGCTAATACCTGAGCTTTTCATTCGATCATTCTGTGACCTTGAACAAAAAATTGTACTTCTTTATGGCGAAACATGAATCTAGTCATTCCATATAGCCATTCCATATAGCTACACAAGACTCCAGTCATTCTCTATAGCCATACCAGACTCCAGTCAATCTCTATAACACACTAGACTCCAGGCGTTCTCTATAGCTGCACTAGAATCCTGTCATTCTATATAGCTGCATTAGAATCCTGTCATTCTCTATAGCTACACTAGATTCCAGTCATTCTCTATAGCTACACTGGACTCCAGTCATTCTCCATAGCTGCACTAGAATCCTGTCATTCTGTATAGCTACATGAGACTCCAGTCAATATCTATAACCACACTGGATTCAAGTTATTCTTTATAGCTACACTAGATTCCAGTCAATCTCTATAGCTACACTGGACTCCAGTCATTCTCCATAGCTGCACTAGAATCCTGTCATTCTCTATAGCTGCATTAGAATCCTTTCATTCTCTACAGCTACACTAGACTCCAGTCAATCTCTATAACAACACTGGACTCAAATCATTCTCTATAGCTGCACTAGAATACAGTCAATATCTATAACCACACTGGACTCAAGTCATTTTTTATAGCTGCACTAGACCCCAGTCATTCTCTATAGCTATACCAGACTCCAGTCAATCTCTATAACACACAAGACTCCAGGCGTTCTCTACTGCTATACTAGATTCCAGTCATTCTCCATAGCTGCACTAGAATCCTGTCATTCTCCATAGCTGCACTAGAATCCAGTCAATATCTATAACCACACTGGACTCAAGTCATTCTTTATAGCTGCACTAGACCCCAGTCATTCTCTATAGCTATA